TGACTGAACAACAATCTAGTGAAGATTAACAAGGAGTGAAAATGTGGGCATATAGGGTTGAGTACCATCAGGCACTCACACAGGCTGCCTGAGCAGCAGCCCCATGAGAAGGATATGGCAGTCACAGTGGACACTAAGCTGAACATGAGCCAACAGTGTTTCTGTCGTGAATAAAGTGGCAATACACTGGCCTACATTAGGAAGGGAGAAAAGACAGCAGATGAACAGAAATTTTTCTCTTTCTTCAGTGCTAATGAGTCCAAATCTGGGATATTTTGTTCTGTTTTGGGCTGCCTGGTCCAAGAAGAATGTTGAAAAACAGGAGGTCATGAAGAAGTCAAGCAAGATGGCAGAGACATATAGTATATGACTTGTGAGGAGAAGAGGAGGAAAAGCAGATCTGATAGCAATCTGCAATTAATTAATAGAGACATTAATAGAGACATTTTTTTTTAATAGAGACATTTGCATTAATAGAGACAAAGATTGTAGAGATGAACTCTTCTCAGTATGGCAAATGGTAAAACAAGGAGTAAAGGCCACAAGGTAAGTCACTGGAGCTTTGAGTGGATGCACATGATTTTGCATGCACGGAGTCACACAGGTGTTAGACACAAAAGCTGCAAAGCCTCTATCCTTCAAGAGCTTCAAGGGCAGGGTAAATAAGCCATGGCTGACCTGAAATACAAGTCACAATCTTCCTTCAAGTATAAGGTTGGACTGAGTGGACCCTAGAGTCCATTCCAACCACTTCTGCAATTGTGAAAGTCTAATACACCACACGGCTCCTCAGACAGCAAGCAGGGCTGAGTTACTGGTTCCTTCTTCTGCCTTTCTCCCTCTCTCCCTCCGTCTCTTTCTCTCTGCCTTTAAGTTATGTTGTCACATACAATTACCATCAAGTTAAAAAGTCTAGTAAAAAGATTCCTTTCCAGCTTCTATTATTATGCTTGCCATCCAACCAATATATACAGTTAAGATTAAGATCTGTAATGTACCAGGCACTGTCAGACTATTCACATCTTACTTTACTCAATTTGGCACTTTTTGCATCTTGGCTCAAAACTGCATGCCTTTTTTTTTTCTGAAACCATAGCACTGTCCCTCTCATTCTTACAGAATACTTTTTCTTTTTCTCTTATGAAACATAATTTGTATTTTCCCTGATAAACCTGCACAATTTAATGGTAAAAATTCAAACAAATCAATAAGTACTCATCTTTTCAAGAGACGGCATCAATCCAAGATTTTAGCCGTAAACCACAATGACTTCTGAACCAGAACTGCTGAAGCAGTATGACACAGCTAAGTGAATTCTCTATCCGCTCAAACCTTACAGACAGAATCTGTTAGCACAAGGATTTAAGCAAGCAGATGGCATCTCAAGTACTAGAAGGAACATGGGTTAACAGCCAAAGAAATAGATTTTTAATATTTTGTGATGAATCATCCTGCTACTCCAGTAAATCTGTTTCTGTGGTAGACTTAATAATGTATGTTAGCATGTCAGCTGATTCACGAATCAAAAGTATGTGTCACATCAGGTAGCAACTCTAGCCAATAAGCAGCAAATTCACAGAAGTCAAGCCCTTAGCATGAAACCTTTTATGAAACAAGGCTCCAGCTAAAAAGCTGATGCCAAAGTTAAAACCTGGGATAGGAATGCCCACACGCGGTTGAGGGTACTGCAAAACAGTCACTGGGAACATGTACAGTTCAGAACGACACCTGCATTTGCAGTGCAATACTATAATCTTTTAAAAGGAGATATCTCATTTTGTTTACAAAGGAGAGAGAAATGAACCCAACCGCAAGTCTGACACCAATCTAGTTGCTGATTCTAGACAAGGATTACTTTTTTAAGATTGCAGCACAAAGTAGAATATTCTGAGACTTACGTGAAGACTGAAGCCATAGTACATAATCTTCCACGTGATTTAACTAAAACCAGATAAAAATGTTTTTTAAAGGTATATGTGATAGGTTACATATACACACTGGATCAGATCTCTGAATTTGTACGAAAAAAAATGCTTGTGATCTGCATGTGTAATGGCACACACCAAATACTGGGGTGAAATAAAAACACAAAATAGAACACCAAATCAGTATTTTTAACCCATTCAAAATAAGGCTCTTCAGCAGAGTCTGAAGCACCATAAAGATAAAACACTATCACTATTACTGTCGGTCTGTCCTCATTTAATCTTCTCTCAAATCTACTATTACTGCCTTCAGCTATTCTATTCAGCACCTCTGTAGTACGCAACTCCCCAGTGATAGAAGTTTTGCACACTGGCATATGATCTCTTTAGTCTGAGCAAATTTACAGCAAATAGAGCAGAGCATTACAGAGTGCATACCTCATTAATGCCTCTGACTACTCAGAAAGGTAGAAATGAGATCCAGTACTGCTTTGATTCATTTCTGCAACTCAGGCAGGAGAGAAGGAAAGGTGTCTTCACCAGAGGGTGGTGAGCTTGGAACAGGCTCCCCAGGGTCAAGGCACTGAGCTGCTGGAATTCAATAAGCATCTGGACAATGCTCTCAGTCATATGGTCTGATTTTTGGATGGTCCTGTGTGGAGCCACCTGTTGGACTCCCCAGTCCTTAAATATTTGCAATATTCTATGGTTCTTCAAACTCTGTTTTCATTCTAAGGGAAGAATTTTGAAGCTTGCGCATTGTGCAAATGAGGTGCTATATCGTGACACTTCCACATTTCATTCTTAGCGTTGTTTAGCTACCCAAGTTCTCCCAAGCCACCCAAGCCTCTGTAAAGTTAACAATTTACTGAAACCCAGAGGCCCTTAAAACCCGAGACTGAAAGCTTTCATTGGATGATATTCTTCAACTCTCTCCAATATGTATTTCCGACGATAACCTGTGCAGCAAAAAACTTCATTCAGCCACAAGAGTGTGCATGTGAGAGGACTGCAAATCTCCTCCGCCAAACCAGAATTAGCCGGTATCGCAGGAATGAAAGAGCGTGGAGATTTGAAATTGCAGGGAATGGAAGCGAGACAGCGCACGAGCCGAGCCGCCCGGGGAGCGAAGCGCCCGGCAGAGGCCGCGCGGCGCCGCGGACAATAAGCCCCGGGCTGGCGAGCGGAGCGAGGAGGAGCGGAGAGGGCGCAGGTCGGCAGCGGGACGCCGCAGCTCGGGGCGCGGGGCGGCGCGGCAGCATCCTGCAGGGTGAGGAGCTCGGGAGGGGCCGGGAGGAGCCGCGCGGCACCAGCGGCGCCGCGAGCAGGGGCGCGGGCCGGGGTCGGGCTGCGGACCGGGGTCGGGCTGCGGACCGGGGTCGGGCTGCGGGGCCGGGGGCGGCCCCAGGGCGGCGGGAGGCGGCGGCAGCCCCGCCGCAGCGAGGTAACTAGCGGTCATCCTTTGTGCTCGGCGGGCGGGCGGTTCCGGCCCCGCGCCCTCCCCCGGCGCCGCCCCGCGCGGAGCCCCGCAGCGCTGCGGGCCCGGCAGGTGCCGCCGCGGGGAGCGCTGTGCCGGGGCGGTGCGGCGCCCGCACGAGCCCGACTCGCGTGTTAGGGAGGGCGTGACGCGTAGCGCTTCCTAAAGCTTACGGAGCGGCGATGCGGCCCGGCAGCAGCCTTCCCGACCCCGCGCCCCGCTCGCCCTCGAGCCCGTTCCCGCCGGTCGCTGCCGCTGGTGCTCTCGCTGAAAGTGCGGCATCTATCGGCGCGTGGCGCTCGGAGCCGTCCGAGCGGATCCAGGGCGGCACGCAGGGGCACCGAACCGAGCCGGGTCGCCGCTGCGTGCTGGCTTGTGGCCCCAGCAGTCAGCTTGGCGTTCTCCTATTTCCGTTTTTCTCTCACTCTGCGGGCACGCGGCGTGCCTCTGATCTGCAGAAGTGGAGCTGATCTGACCCGTAGTTGTGCCTCCAGTGAAGTCAACTGGAGACTGACAACAGAAGTCATGGCATATGTTCCGGTTACAACGAAGTAACACCTGAACAGACCCTGCGTTTTGCTTTTAGCAATATGTTTCCTATATATCTTCAAAAAGCTAATCATTACATATATCTAGTGAGAATACTGTGAAGCAAACCTTAGTACTATTTATGAAGTATTTATGAGTTATATCCATTGGATGTACCTTTAAATTCCCATTTGATGCCATACTTTTAAAAGCAGAAGCAATCAGTTACTGGAAGAGGCTACAAAAGAATGTGTAAAAATTTCACTGCAGGGACATTTTTGTATCCAGATCAGATGTTTCTCTGATGATCCCATTCAACTTCTAACCAGGGAGCCATAGAGTGCCAGTAATGGCACAGGGAACGTGAATGTTTCTCTGCTGACTTTGGTCTTATTACAACACCTGCATTTGTCTCTAAAAGAGCTCGTAAGTCAGATTTTCAGAAAAGCTCAGTGTTTCTGTAGACTCCAATGTTTGAGCTAATTTTCTAAGAGCTCTGCATATCGTGTGTGCTTACTGTATAAAAAGCTTTTCTGAAAAAAATCCAGTTGTTCTCCAGCTGCCCAAACAATAATCCAGATTCTCCTGTCTTTAAATGCAGCTCCTTGTGGGAGGCTGTATATAAACACTGTTACTGCGAGAGTCTTCACTGCCTTGCTCACTGGGAAAGCATGTCTGACTTCATAAATCAGCTGCTATCACTTACACTGCAGTTTCTCTAGGATTTCACAATTACTGAGAGCTCATTGGGCTTCTCTGCCTTCTGTGCTACTGTGTTCTTGTCAGTGCTGTGGTGTGGGAAGAAGACTGAGGGCAGGTAAGAGCACTTCTCCTGGGTTGTAGGCTGTGGGCAGTGAGTCAGTGGCAGCGAGAGAATCCAGACATCCAATCTTTGCTTCATCCAGAGCTTCAGGTTTGTGCAGCTATTGGAAATGGCCTTTTGTGCTTTTGAGTGTATTCACTTTGAATTTGTGACATTAGCATAAAAGTGATAATAAGTGAGATTCCTATTCAAAGGAAAAGTGTATGCAGTTTCACAAGCTTTGTGGGGGTTGTCGTAAGCCTGCATTAACTTGCATTGAATCAGGTGAAGCCCATTCTGTCAGGTAGCTTGCACTTTCTCTGCTGCTGGAAAGATGAATGTCCTATCTTTGAATCTCTATGCCAATTATTTTTGCTTTAAAACTTTAAAAAACTTTTTAAAAGTATGAAAGATGTATCTATTTCCTTCTGGTCCAAAGAAGATTTTTTTTGTATCCAGTATCAGTATGCAGGTGCACACAAAAAATAGTCAGATGCATGAGGTTCCATACTGAATCCTCACTCTGACTCTTGAGTTACATAATTTTGTATTCCATTATTTAAGATGTACTGTGATATCTATCATACATTTTTCACTAATCCCACACAGGCTGTACTTAGCAGCTTGAAATTTTCATTCATTCTGCTATTTCTCTTTTTTTTTTCCATTAGCATTATTATGCAGTAACTTTCTTACCTTTATGTAGTTTGTCTTTCTCTCTTGTGAGTGGGCTGTGTCCTCAATAGGTAGTCACATAAATTGCATCACCGGGGGATCTAGCTCCTAGTAACCTTGTTAGACAGAGTGAAAATGCCATCTTTGAGACCTGTGCACTGTAGAAGGATGAAGTATAATTTTAACTCTTCCATTCAAAGCAAAGTCTGCAACCCTCACTCCTCACCATTCCTCCCGCCACCTACACAGTCCTGCCTGAAACACCCTGGAGGACTCCAGGAAGATGAATATCTCCTTCTCTTTTTGCTGCCCGATTTGGAAAGAAAAAGCCAATAAGTCAGGGTGTGTATGAAATGGCACTCTGTCAGTGGCACTCATCATTTGATCCCAGATTATCTGCTCATGTGGCAAATGTTAAATGTGCACGGTTCTTGTTATGCCTCCCTGTGTCATCCATACTTTCCTTCTCTCCTCCCTGACCAAGTTAGGACTAGAGATAACATAGTCCAGAAAGAGTTTGCATGTATGGAATTTCATAACAGAGGTACAACTTATTTTAGTTACAGTTCATTATATGAACTGATTATATACAAATCAGAGTGCTTTTGAAGAAACCCTGAAGTTCAAGTTGCCCACAGCTATCTGTAATTACCTATTGCAAATAAGGGCTGTGTGGCACTCGTAAGGTAACTTACCAGCAGGCAGCATGGAGAGGTTACATATGTGGGCAGTTTGTCAGTGATGCTTGTGAAGCAGTGGCTTCAACCTCCTCTGTGCATTAACATGAAAAACTTGTAGACATTCTTTGTATGTTCATCTAGCAATAAGAAAAAAGTAAAATACTTTGGAAAACTAATAACTGAAGAAGCAGATAATCCTATACTCCTATAAATATACTCCTATATTTAAAGATTAACAGCACAAATTTACATTAGTACAAAGTCTGAATTATTCTATTCACTGTCAATGTATTGTACAGAGGAGCTGGCCCTGAACTGGAGACGTGTCTTTGGAGGGCTCGCAGAATACATGAAGCTCTCAAAAACAATTTTGATAACTTTCTTATCTTGTTCCACTATTGTGAAGTTGATGGCTCTTTTCTATTTTCCAGAAAAGAAAAGATGGGGAAAAAATTACCATCTCTGGTTATTTGTATCATTACACTTATTTCTAGTCTCCATGGAAACCGATGTGCTGCTCCACAACCATGTAACATTTTGATATGTTGCATAAATCAGATGGAGAGATTAGGTTCTGCATCTTGCCCATTACTCAATTAAAAATGGCTTGCAAATTTAACATTTAGAGTAAGAAAGAAAGAAATGAAGATACACAAGATATTATGACCTGATCCCCCATGTTTGTGCATATAACTCTGCCACACAGTTTGATAGGCATTAATTTGGAAGAGTTCATTGCTTTTAGTGGAGTTATATGTATTAGTACTATGGAATCTGAGAGTATAACAGTGAACAGTTAGTCAAACTGACTCTGACAAAGTTTTAAACTTGACAGACTTGAAGTAACAGTCCCCTCTTTGTAATTTATATAAGCAAGGCTTTTTGAAAATCAAGAACCTTATGACTTTATCTTTCTGTCTTCACTACTAAGGAAGAAATACACATCCAAATTTGTTTCCTCTGAAAAAGTATCTGCCTGCCTCTTTAAGATTTCTATTTCTTTACTCCAAGCTTTATTAATTGAAGGCACATAATCTTACTGAGACAACAGAAGGAATACACAGAGAGAGCCTGATCTTCTCTGACCAGAGCCAACCCATGAGGAGTGAGTGCTCTCAGCCACATACAAGTGAGTAAATATGTGCTAATGGAAACGATGTGACCTACTGGCACCTATAAGTACTCTTACATAGACAGCCATGATAATAAAGTACATACCCGTTAATTGGAGAATTTTCAAAGTATTTTGCATTTGAACAGTGAAAATCAAGTATGAGGGAAAAAAGGTGAAACGCAATTGTGATTTTTGCTATTCACTATAACCAAGCCACCAAATTGTGTCATTTTGAATGTGTTTTGAAATTATTTACTTTGTTTGTTTCAGAATACTGTGGAAAAAATGTATGCCAGTCGAGAGGATATTGGGTATGATTTTGGAGATGACTCAAAAGCTGGAAGTAAGCCAATTAAGCCTAATCCAAACATCGATGGAGGATGGGCTTGGATGATTGTATTTTCCTCTTTCCTTGTGCACATACTTATCATGGGGTCCCAAATGGCCCTTGGAATACTCAACATGGAGTGGCTTGAAGAGTTTAATCAAAGTCGTGGCTTAACAGCATGGGTTAGCTCTCTTAGCATGGGCATTACACTTATTGTAGGTATGTTCTAGCATCATTTATTTCAGAACTACAGAGATTTTTGGAATATGTTTGCTGCTCACCCTTCAAATATATTTTCTTACAGTTTTCAATTTACCAGCAGAGCTGCTCAGTTTCTCCTCAGTTATCTCTTCTAACTTGTCCAGGTGACAAATTACAAATTAGAGGAAGATAGGGGACAGCAGGGAAGATGATAGAGAAGACAATTAGACCAGGCAACAATGTGAGCAGGAAAAGGATGCTTGTGACTTCAAGGACTCATTAGAATCCAGAAAACGGATTCTGCTAAGCCTGTGGTCCTCTCCATACTCTATCTATGAGAAAATGTTGAATTTGGATAGTGAACTAATTTATATTTCAGTTGGTAACTGAAAAAAAATTAATTTCTAAGTAGTGGTTGGAACAATCCAAAAGAATATCTGTAGGCGTGTGTTTGTGTATGTGTGTAAATACACATCTCTATTTCCCTAAATTAAGATTGAAAATGTGTTTTGGTCTGCCTAAAATATTCCACTGAAAACAAGATTAAAAATTTGCTTTCTAATGACTTCTAAAAAAAGGTCTGCACTCACAGTGTTTGCATTGGGAAAAATGGTTTCTGTTTCTTCCTCTGTTTAAGTCATTCCTTCATGGAGCAATCTTGATTTTATGTCTTAAGGGTACTTGCTAAGTATGCTAAGTAAGGTTGGTTAGACAATATGTTTTTTTCCATGAAAATAAGGAAATAAAACCCTGAATTGAGTGAGTGGCATGATATTTTAACACAGTGTGTAAAGCATCATTAAGAATTTTGGTGGGAAAAATTACTAAAGAGTTTAGGGGTTTAGATAAATAACACAGTATTTCTTCATGCTCATTAACAGGTCCTTTCATTGGTTTATTCGTTACCATGTGTGGGTGCCGCAAAACAGCAATAATTGGAGGGATATTGAATGCCCTAGGCTGGATATTGAGTGCCTATGCCTCAAATGTGCACTACCTCTTCCTTACATTTGGAGTGACAGCCGGTAAGCTAGACAAGCACTTGAGAGTTTCTTTCTGATGATTTTTGATTCCTTTGGATGTTACCTGGGTGAGGAAAAAGGGAAGTCAGACTGGTTCCCAGAGTGTTTTTGCACATTAAAATAAAGTTTTAGCTATGAAATGTAACTTGACTTTTGATTTCAGTTTATTCAGCCCTCATGTGATCTGGCATAGTGCTATAATCATGAGAATCAGAGGCGGTGAGCAACATCCTTCATTCCAGTAGAGTTATTGCTGTTTCTCCTTCGCTATCTTTACAGATTTGTCTTTTCAGAAAGCTCATTTGTTTACACAGTGGATTAGTCCCAATGGCTTTCGTTGTCATTTAAATCTACCATGTGAAGATGGCATTTTTATCAGTTTGTCCCATGTGAATGTATTAGAAGGCATTCTTAATTAGAAGAATTAATGTAACCTAAACTCTAACAAATGGATTTTCAAGAGATTAAAATATTGTTGCACTGTATATCTAGGTAGCTCCTCTCTTTGTCACAGGAATAAATAGCATACATATTTTTACAGGAATTGTTACACGTTAGCAAAATATCAGAATATGATAACTACGTAGTGTTTCTATAGCCATAATTAGGGTGTAGCATGTATGTTTTTAATGAAAAAAAAAAGAAGATAAGCATGACTTTCTTCCAAATATATTGTTGTGTTTGTTTAATCTTCTGAATCCCTTTGAGTAGATTTGATCTGCCTGAATGAGAACAATGCATGTAGTCATAAGTAATGAGCTCTTTGCCTCAGTCTTTGTGGCCAGTTAGGCTTCCTGTGGCTCTTGTGTCCCTGAACCTCTAGCTGGGGTCTAGGGGAGCAATATCCCTCACACTGTAAGAGCAGAGCAAGTTTGAGACCACCTCATGAAGCTGAAGGTGTACGAGTCTATGGGGTCAGATAACATGCATCCCAGGGTTCTGAAGGAACTGGATGATTGGTTGCCAAGACACTCTCTTTGATATTTGAAAAATTATGGCTGTCAGGCAAAGTCTCTGGTGACTGTAAAAAGGGAAACATCACTCCCATTTTTAAGAAAGGAGGAAAGGAGGACCAGGCCCTGGCACTGCTGCCCTGAGAGCTGTGGATACTTCATCCTTGCAGGTGCTCAAGGCTAGGTTGGATGGGGCCCTGGGCAGCCTGAGCTGGTGGGGGGCAGCCAGCCCATGGCAGGTGTTGGTACTAGATGGGCTTTAGGATCCCTTCCAGCCTAAGTTATTCTATGATTCTATGATCTGAGCAATGCTAAGCAAGTCAAGGAGCTTTGAAATATAATTAATTCCATGGCTAATATGACAGAAATTCAATGTAAAAAATGGTTTGTAATCTTAACAATAGCTGAAATGCCTTCTCTCAAACTACCCCTTCACGGGATTTCAGAGAAATCTGCAGAATTTCTGTACATAATTTTTTGTCTATCTGGATGGAAAAAAAAATAAAACTCAGAAGGATCACTGTGACAACTCTTTATACTAGTGTACTATAGATTTCAGTAATTCTGTATGTTCTTGAACAAAGAGCAATAATTATAGACAAGATATTGCCCTTTTGGCAGTTTTTGATTCCATCCATATTTGTTATATTCAGACAGACATGAGCCTGAGTTATCTCAACCCTTGCTGCTTTTCAGAAAGCGCATACCAAAAATACTGAACAAAAATGCAGAGGTTTATGCAGAGATTTTAAAAGATTTTAAAATGTGAGCTGAAAACGTTATTATCAGAAAAAAGTCTGAGGCAAGTTTTTACATGAGGTGGAGAAATGAGATGCTGTTACAATAGGAATGTGGGGCAGGAAAACAGCATAGGAATGCCTGAGTTCATTCCAACTCCATGAGACCTCTGCTTGCCAGGGCCTCAGCCACCTGTTTGCTGTATTTGCCACCACCGCTGCTCACTGTGCCCTCACACAACATCTCCTCACTCCCTTCACTCATTGTCCCCTCACACACCATTCCCTCATTCCCAGTCCCCATAAGCACCACCCCCTCACTGGCTTCCCCTCACACACTGTCCCCTTACTTACTGTTCCTTCATGCACTGTCCCTTCTCAGGCCCCTTGCTCACTGTCTCTCCGTTCTCTCGCCATCCCTTCACTGGCTGTCCCCTCACACACTATCCCCTCACATCCCTCCTTTCTCTCACTGTCCCTTCACACACTGTCCCCCGCTCACTGTGCCCTTGCCATCCTCTCACTGACCATCTCCTCCATCACTGCCACTTCTACTTCCTGTCAGTTTCCTTATGGTCACCTCACTCAGTTCCCTCACTTCCCATTCCATCGCCCTCAGCCCATCACTCCTCATTGCCGTGCTGCCTGTCCCCTCACACCCTGCCCCTTCCTCACGGTTGCCTCACTGCCACCTCAGGGAAATTTCCTTCCTCCTTCAGACTGAGGTTTTCTTACAGTGGCCGCCTCCTGCTGGGGTCACTTTCTCCACACAGTGCTCATGGGTGTCCTAACGGCTGCTGTGTTTCCCTCAGGCCACAGTGACCAGCTGTGCCAGACAACCTCACCCTGCATGACCCCATGGTCCCAGCCCTGCTCCATGTCCCACAGCACCCCTCACCTCAGAGCGGTTCCCCTCCACCAGCTCCGTATGGCATCTGCTCCATCTGCTGTCCCCTCACCTCCTGGCTGCCAGCTCCATCCCAGCCTGTTCTCTCCTCCCCACAGCATCAGTCTGTGGCAAAATAGCGCTCAGGGCCCTAAAGGGAGAGCAGAGCCAGGTTGTGTTGCAAAGCTGAAGTGCCAGATCTGTGAGGAGAAGATAGAGAGGCCTGTGTCCTGTGCCTTATGCGTAGAGATGGCATGCCCTTGCCTGAACTAGGCCTCACTTTGCCATGTAGTCCACAGAATGGAAAGATAGAACAATGTATAAATTTCTTACTTCTCAGGGTGTTCAGAGGAGCTCAGTAAACACTGATGTGAGTACGAGCACGAGCAGATGGGAACAGGGGTTCTTCCATCTGTTGCAGAGCCAACTTCAGGCCAGTATGACGCTGGGGGTCCTCTGGAGGGCAGAGAGATTGCCTGCAAGTTTTTGCCTGGATGTGGGGGGAAGCCAAATGCAAAACAGAAGCCAAATAATGTGCTGCACATAGCAATATAAGCAATAAACGCTTTTAGCAGGTGCGACAGGTCAGCTCTGAGCATGATACACTGCAGTGATGTCGGGCTGGTTTTTTTCAGTGTTTGCTGGAGTAGCAGCTCTTCTCCTGGTTTAGCTGTAGGGTGTCATGCAGCTAACTTATCAGCTATTTTAGGAAAGATTTTAAGCCCAAAATGCTGTTGTAAATTATGATCACAGTAAATTTGAAAACATTTTCTGCATTTGCCATTATTCTAGTCCTCTTTAAATGGCAGGGATTGCAAAACTGGCAACTATTACTGTTATGGATGCGTTTGCATAACGCTCAACACTTTCTGCTTGAGTATCACAGATTTGGAAAACACTACAAGACAGAAAGTAAACTAACATGAGAACTGAATATTTATTCTTGGTATTACTGTTACGGTTCTGCAAAAGTTAGGAATAAATCCAGTTCATTTTTATCTTGTTGGCATGAGGTTCAGGTTTATTTTGACTTTTCTTTTCATAGGCATCGGGAGTGGCATGGTTTATCTGCCTGCAGTGGTCATGGTAGGACAATATTTTCAGAAGAGAAGAGCACTTGCACAAGGACTCAGTACCACAGGAACAGGGTTTGGAGCTTTCTTAATGACAGCCTTGCTGAAGTACCTCTGCAGGGAGCTTGGGTGGAGAAATGCCATGTTCATCCAGGGTGCAATCTGCCTGAACCTTTGTGTCTGCGGGGCCCTTATGAGACCACTTTCTCTCAAAGACGTGAATGAAAAGTATGTTGTAAGACGTAACAGTGAAGATAATCGGGCAAAAGCTCTGTCCCACTCTGCAGAGACTATAAAATCCAATGGAGTCCTCAGTGAAGAACCAGAAAAAAAGGAAGTGATAAAAAATGAAGAAGTGCTTGATAATATTAAGCACATAGAAATTGGAGGTAAATCTCGGATTGGAAAAAGCATGTATGGACTGCGCATTCTTAAGACAGTGAGCCAGCTGACAATTACAGTCAGGAAGGGCTTTGGAATCTGGTACTCCAGTTACTTCGGAGCTGCATCACTGTTCACCAACAGAGTATTTGTGGCCTTTATAATCTGGGCTTTGTTTGCCTATAGCAGTTTTGTCATTCCCTTTATTCATCTTCCAGAGATAGTCAAGCAGTACAATTTATCTAGTCAGAACAATATATTTCCTCTGACGTCCATTATAGCAATTGTTCATATTTTTGGTAAAGTGATCCTTGGAATCATCTCTGATCTCCCTTGCATCAGCACTTGGAATGTCTTCCTCATGGCTAACTTCACCCTGGTCACCTGCATTCTTACTTTGCCACTAATGCAAACATACATTAGTTTGGCTGTGGTCTGTGCTCTAATAGGATTTTCTAGTGGCTACTTTTCTCTAATGCCTGTTGTGACTGAAGATTTGGTTGGAACTAAGCACCTTGCAAATGCCTATGGCATCATCATTTGTGCCAATGGAATATCTGCATTGCTTGGACCACCCTTTGCAGGTAAAAAGTTCAAATTTTTGACCAACAGTTGTTTGTTTTGTAGATGTGTGACTTGTTATTTTATCAAGCTTTTTTTTATGAACACCTGTAGTTATCAAAAAGGCAGCTGTACGAGAAAGGCCTGTAACATCCAGCTTTACATTGCATATATTTACTGAACATATCTGTTGCTCACTATTCACGCATTAAAAATTACCATCCTTATAAATAACCCCAAATATATTACAAGTTGTACTTTTGAGGGTATGTTTCTTTAAAATATTATCATATCCTTTTTAAAAATCAGAAAGGATAACTTATTTTTATATGTTCACGTAGCATAAAAACTATATTCACATACACTCATGCCTATATCTAGATGAAAAATGATGAGTTTTCAGGATTATTTGGATAATTTTCAGGATATTTGTACCATAGTATTTGCACCAAGAACTATAGAGTGTGTTTGGGCTTCACCACTCTAAGCAGCCCATGGATGTATCAATTTAATGGACTTGTCTTTGCCTTTCTTCTGCCTGTTGTACCTACTTTTGAGAGTGTACTGCTCACAATCTTGTTACTGCTTTACACAGCAGAAGCCAAAGTGCACAAAGCATTATGCCTAAAGTCACTTTGGTTTAAAAAACATTCATTATAAATTTTCTCATACAAAGAAGTTGGGAACTGTAGTGGGAAACTGATGGGGAGAGATGGAGGTGGTGATGATCAGTACTGCACTCAGGCTATGGCTATCTGTAAGAGAAAAGCAAATCAGAAGGAAGCTGTAGGAAGCCTTGTGACTTACGGTGGTCGTCAGCCAGGAGTGGCACTGGGCTGAACTAAAGCCAGTTTGACCACCAGCAGCCCAGGAAAGACAGAACGCTCTCCTCTATCCCCAGCATCAAGGGAAATGAAATGATTTTGAAGAAAGCTCATTTAGCATCCTTGGAAAAGCATCAGACTTTACCATATACTCAGCCCCTCTCAGTCTATGCTCAACATAGCTTCGTGTTTGGTCGTCAGTAATGAAGCAAACTGGATGTGACTAGTTGGTGTGAAAAAAGCTGATCTTGAGATTACATGGCAATGCAGCCAGAATGAAATGGGGTAATTTCACTACTCGCTATTCACTAAAGATTCTCAAACCCTTCTGAATTAGTTTTCATGTATTTTTGCAAAGGGATTGGGGCTGGAATGGGATTAATTGCAGGACCAAGATTTTTGAAAAGTCTTTTATCAGTATGTGAATCTTTAGAAAACTTTTGGGAATGTCTTTGCTTGCATTAGGCACAGTATCTAAGCTAGCCTACATGGCACAGTAGCAGTACTGGGCATAGCGGTAATAGCAAAGCAAACAGCAGAGCGGAAGAAGTAGTTGGTTTGGGATTTCAAATTGTTTAAAGTCAGATCTATACAGTAATTCATCTGAAAAATGTACAGTTTCAGATAGAAGATTGCTTATGTTCTAGAATGGCATACAGCTAACATCCCATTTTAAGATTGCATAATACTTACGGGGGGGGTGGTAGGTTTTGAATTAGTTTTGGGTTATGGTGAGTGACCAAGAGATTTTGTTAGTGCATTTCTATTTGCCTCCTCTAGATGCTACAATCACCACATTATGTTTTCTTCAAAGCAACTAAGGTTTTCAGTAAAATGTCATGAGAAAAATGTGCAGTATCTTTCATATATTTCCCAGCAATTTGTCAAGCATTGTAATAGCATGTTTTGTCCTTATTTTGCAGGTTGGATCTATGACATCACACATAAATATGATTTTTCTTTTTATATATGCGGCTCGCTATATCTGGTGGGAATATTATTTTTATTTATGCAACCTTATATTGGAAAGAAACAATCACAAGAAAAATCTACTGAAGAGGCACAAGTATAGAATGAATTCCAGATGTTTGGGTTTTTTTTACACAATTTATTTCTTTCCATGTTTCTATTGCATGCAGTTTAAAGCTGTTTTTCTTAAGGAACCAACCACATTGAGCTGTGCTTAAGTACTTATGTGAAAGGAAAATGTGCACCAAAATTATGATAATTCATTAGAAATATGCTTTTAAAATGACTTAAGATCTTTCACTTCAGTACAAACAAAAGCACACTGGCAGTCTTAGAATCGGAGCGATGTTAGAAATATTTACTTTTGATTCTCTTAACTTTTCATCACTAACCTTTGGTGAAACTCCACTGACTGCAGTGCAGTCACTTCTGATTTACACTAGTCCTGTAAGATAGTTTTATCGGGATGCAAATGATTTATAAAAATCCGTCTACAGAGTATCCTATCTGAGTTAGAACATATAAGAAAATGATTGTATTTCTTACCCAGCTCGTCAAGTACTGCTGAAATGCTAGCACAACACTTCAATGAGTTCAGTGTATGAAAATTCAAGATTCTGTGATGCAAAGCTGAAGAAAAATATTTATGTTTTTCTGAAAGGGCTCTCTACTTGAATCATTTTTTATTTTTATTTTTAATTATCAAGTGCGTGATAAATTAGCCATCCTCAATATGTGGGCTGTGTTATACATGCTCTGACACTTAATGCACCTGAAGGAAAGCAAACAGAAAAGCAAAACCAGAAAACTGATGGAAAATACTGATTTGATTCTTCAACAGAAATGATAAGCAGCAAAAGCTGATGATCTCTTACACAGTTCCACATGCATGAGTTACCACATTCAGATAGACTGATTTCTGATTGCAGGTTCAACTTCTCCAGCAGTTACTCATGATTTGTGTTGATGGAATTGAGAACAGAATATGGAACCGTGTATACAGTTTTCTAGTTCTGCTCACTGAAATTCAGCTCTATTATTGTGGACAACATCCAACACCCAATCCAACATCCAAGTTGGATTTCACTGTAGCTGTGTTAACTGTCCTAGAGCTGCTGATCATACCTGTATCAGGTAGAGATACCCAACATGAGAAGAAAAGCTTTCTGCATTTATAAAAACAGAAATTTTTATTTATGCTTTGAAAAGTTAAACTTGATCTGACTCTTGTCTGTAGTCTTTTACGATGGAGAAATAATTTATTTAAATGAACAATAGCCCCTTCATTGTAAAACAAAACAAAACAAAACAAACCGGTATACTTAAGGGAGCAAATGCTATTGTTATGGTATATCCAGGTTCTTACAGGTTCTTAAGCCTGCCTTGTTGTTTGGGACCTCACAGTGAAAGCATTGCACCACAGACTGGAAAATATTTCCAGAAACAGTTTGACCTTTCTGGCCGCTGTCTGTCTGGGACAAGTAAGCTGTACTAAAGAAATAGAGCTGGGCAAAAGTGCCCAAATACAGCGTAAGAAAGAACTGAACTACAGCATGCTAAGTTTTATTACAATTAACTTCAGAATAAAAACTGTAGAATTATGAACAGTTGTGTTGCTGCATACGAGTACACCACCAACTGCCTAAGACTGGTCATGTTTTAGATGTTTACTCACTAGCAAATTAGATAACACAAAGCATGGAAGAACTCCAGTCAATTTAAAATATTGAAATAAATTTTCTTAAACAACATTAATGCAGAATGTTTTGAATAATGTTACATCATGTATCTCAGCTTTGACAGGTGAGCCTGATGTTAGTTTTCCTGTATGAAGTAAATGTTTCTGTTTCTTTTTCCTACTTGCTTCATGAATGCTTTTTCACGACAAATCAAGTTCTTGGTTTACTACTGATACGTGCCACTTCAATTCTCTACAAGCAATCAACATTTTTCAGTTGTATTGAAGAAATATTTAAAATAGTTTGTGAGGTGAAAACCTCAAGAAAACCCAAAACTACCTACAGATTTAGATCAGTTCATTGATGTAATATGTATGGCCTTTAAAATCCACATTAAAACAACTGAGGTGGCAGTGAACTGCAACACGTGGCATGAATAAGCAGCCAGTTTATTTCTTAAAGTCAGCTTCTTTTGCTGAAGGAAATATTCATGTAAACTACTCCGACATCAGTTCTTTAGTCACAGGTTTAATGTCTTGGTGTAAATGGCATTGCTAACTTACTTTAGCTGAGCTTTCTTACATTGGTGAAATATATGTATTATAGTGATGATTTGCCTCAATTTCCTTCTATTTTTGAAAGATATATAGTAATTATACTTAAAACCTCACTTTGCCTTTTGTTAAAATCAACTTTATTTGCGTATTACTGTAATGAATATGTTGTTCATTTATATCTGCAAATTACCTTCCTAAAGTCCTTAACGAGCCATATAATGGGAATAAACATTTAATACCCCAAATTTTACTTTCTGTTCATTTACTAGTTAGGTTCACTTCCTAAACTTAAAACTGAAGATTCTCCTGTAAAATGATTGTTCACACTTGTAACAGACGATGGGGATACATGATTGATCAAAGAGATAAGAAAGTGGGCTGAGTGAAAACACTGAAATGAGGATATTGAATTACTGTTAACTCAGTCCATATTGACTAGTGTGGGTTCTAGTTTACTAACCTGAAACTGCCTAAATCAGTTATGTTACAAACTAACAAAGAATAAATTCACAGAAAGTGAGAACAACAAAGGTCTGTTTAGTAGCTCTATTCACAGTTCTTAAAATCATCTCTCTAAAGCAAAGTTACTTTTTACTGTGTTTTATTGCACAGAACAGGAATTTCACGAATACAGTATTTTATGCGCATCGTGAATTTTCTGTCATTGTCCTGAAATGAGAATGGCATGAGGAGAAAAGAATGTATCTAAGTAATTAAAGTGCAGTTTTTCTACCTAAAAACTAGAGATGCCAAGTTCTTCAAGAATACTGGTACATAGCTGTAGAGCAACAGGAAAACAGGAAGAGAGTTTGCATCGTTGCCTACATTTGGCTATTTTCAGTGGTAGCAGACACTGCAATGAGTTCTTCTCCCAGATATTCCTGTTTTCCACATGTGCAATTGCCGTGACTTAGATGGAGTGATCCTAGACTTCTCTACTGTAAGTTGCAGGTATTGCTGGGACAAGGGCTAGTAGCTTTCAACTAAAAGAAAGCAGTTTAGATTAAACATCAGGAAGAAATTCTTCAGCGTGAGGGCGGTGAGGCCCCGAGGTTGCAGAGGATCTGTGGGTGCCCTGTTGCTGGAGGTGCTCGAGGCCAGGCTGCATGGCCCCGGGCAGCCTGAACTGGTGCTTGGATCTAGCGGCTGCAGCCCTGCCTGTGGAGGGGAGTAGGAGCTGGATGGGCCTTAATGTCCCTTCCAACCCAAACCACTCTGTGACTCACGATAGTAACTGAAGTCGAAAAGCAAAAGCCCTGCAGTAGCTCCGGTTTCATGCTGCTAATGGAGCTCCATGCCTGGAACTACTTCATTCACTGACTACAGCAAAGCTGTACCAGGGTTCACACGGTCCAGTTTCTGTTGTTGAATCACAGGGATCAGACTGCGGGCCCACACAACATGCTACCAGATTTTAGCAAAGGAAAGGCAGAGGTTGCTGGGGAAGAGCTACTGTACAAGTAGGAAAAAATACATGCATTTCACCTTCTTCCATCTATCTTTCCCTAACCACCTTGCTGCTCCTCAGAGAAGCAGAGGACCATTAAGTTAACAATAGCAAAGCCTGGTGTCAGCATTGAGGGCGCTCTACGGGCAACGGCCGCGCTATGACGCCGCGCGGGGCACAGCGCTGCTCCCGAGCTCCCCCTGGCGGACTGCCGCGCTGCAGGCTGGAGCTGCCGCGGCCCCGTTGCGCCGACCTCGCGCACAGCAAACGAAGCGCCCAGCGCCATCCTGAGCTCGTGCCGGGGGACAGCGCGGCAGAGAAGCGCCTGAGAGCGTTATCTAGAAACCTCATCAGGTGCTTGAATGACGGTGCCTAACTTTGGAACGCTGCACAGCATTTCTGCTCGAAATTGATCTTCTTTTGCAATACTTACAAGTAATATCGAGTAAAAATCTAAAACACCTTGAAACACATATTGTGGCCACGTGAATGCCTAGAACTACACAGCAAGAGAAAAAAAAACAAAAACACAAACAGCACCACACGTTGGCTAACAGACACCTGCTTCATGCAGCCCATGAGGATACACTCCCGGATGGAAGCACAGGGCCTGTGGCACTCTGCTTTTCACTCTTAGCACAGGGACGGCTACTTACTGCCCATCCTCCGGGAGCAGCAGCAAGCAAGGATGCAGCAGGAGCTGCTCCCTGCCCAGGGGACGCTGCTGGTTATGAACTGACGGGCAGTTCAGCCCTGTGCTGCCCCTGCCCTTCCTGGACAGACAGCACACCTGATGTGAAACCCCCCAGAACTTCTCGATTTCCACCTTCTGTGCTCTCTTAAAATCTAAATAAATAAATAAATAAATCAATGCCTGCATGCTAAAATATTATTGTAACTTTGACATACTATTTTTCCCCACTGGAAAATCTGAGTACGTGATTTTATAATTCCATTTAGAGCAGCACTCCAGCCTACACATAAGCTGATCTGAAATTAAAAACCATAGCATTGTGGCAAACTTTCAATTTCTTAAAAATACTGCTGAAATGAGGGAATGAGAGCATAGCATTACTAGGCTATGCAATAGGTTATTTCTTTGTGCCAGGATCTTTGTTAATATCCAAGTTAACACCTTCTAGGACTTTCTTAAGTTCCAGACTGTCCCATATACCCTGTTAAGCTAACAAAAAGTTCACTGCCTCCATCGCACCTAATCCTACTCCACTCATGCTCTGGAAATGACAGATATATACTAATACACCATTTCCTGACATCCCCTCTGTCTATTCTCTTCCTCTCCTTTAATCACTTCTCATCCTCTGCGGGTTGTTTTCCAGTCACAGTATCAACTTTTTTTAATCTCCAAATTGAATTAAAGGCCTGAACTCAGCAAGCTTATCGACTTCCAGCTACCCATCACATCTACATTTACAGCATGCACTATTTTACTCTCTTGGCATTTTCTTCTGTGCTGTCTTTAAACCAGCTTTTGTTTCTTGTGCTTACTTGATCTCAGTCACAAAGGCAGCTGTAATACATTTGCAGTGACACCATAGGAACACACAGGTACAGCCATTTCCTTTTCAACTGTCAGCAATCTTCCACAGAACTTTTCTTGAAATATTGGGCCACACAACCTTGAAACAATACACATGTAAGTAATTTCACTCTGATATACTTTGGAGATGTACTCTGTACCAGAGGCACGACCTGTTCAACAAGCTAAAAGGTTAATCTGTCACTCTGAAGTCTCTCCAAGAGTATCTAGCTGTTGTATCAGCTTCAAGATGACTAAACCTGTTTTTATCTGTCTCCTTAGGCCTTGCCATTACTTATGTTTTCAGTAACTGTAAAACCTGTAACTTGACAGGCTTCATTCAGCACCCCTGGGGATAAGAATCAAGTTATTTTTCTCTTTAATGTGCTTATCTTCCTATATTTCATAAGCTAAACTCCTTTTTCCCCCTCCTACCTTATTTACTGCAACAGCCTTCTCTAGCTTTGACTTGGATAGCAAATGCAATTTCAAGATATTCAGAGGTACCAGAATAATCTTCCTAGCTCTGAATGATCTTTCATTCTTTCCAATCACCTGCTGCTGCACTGAGCAAGAAGTTGGCATTGACAACCTCCAAAAACCCCTTCCAACCCAACCTCAGTTATCCTATAGTCTCCTCTTTTTGCACCAACAGATCAGTCCTCACTCTTCCAGAACTTCCAGGCTACTCTTCCCCTATTTGCTCCCCCTCATTCAGCAATGAGACGCTTCCTTCAGCTCCATTCAGCCAATGAGGCAACTTCTATTGTTTACTGTTTGAATTTTTCAATTTAGTATGTTCACACTATTTCCCATACTTTCCTGATATTTGAAAAGAGGTTGCAAGCAAGCTCAGCACCATCTCGTTCCTCCTCCTGCACTTCAAGCTTCTTGCTGCAAGGTGTAAAAAAATCTTAACAAACAAACAAACCAAACAGCAAATTCCTCCAAAAGCCTCTTTCCTTGTCCTTGTGCTCCTGTATTTATTTGTTGTTTTAAGTCTTTTTAAGTCTGTTTGCCAAACACTTAAAATGTAAGCTTTCTAGGAATGGCAATGTCTGTTGTTTAATGAGTATAGCAGAAGGGGATCCTGGTCTGTGGTTCAAGTTTAAAGACATCACAGCAACACAAATCGTAATGCAAAGCATAGGTTTTGCATGTCAAATACTCAATCCTGGAAGTAGCCCATAACACTCAACCATGGGTTACAATGACACAATGATATTATTTGGATCCTTGTGGTTATTACACATAACAAAAAGTTTGCAGGATAAACATTTGTTTCTCCAACAGCCTTTCTAAGGCCTAGTTTGTATCACACACATTCAGTTGTTCCTACAGAAATGATTACTGTATTATCACTCATTTAGATAGATTAATGGTTATGCTGAATGTGACTTAAATCAACATGCTGTACATTCTAAATCTTTTTTTTTTTTTTTACTATTTCAAATCTACATGAAACTTGAGAGAGCCTGGCAATATCTTCAAGTCCCAGAGAGGAAATGATGTCCAATAGCAAGGGGACAGGAAGCCGTTCCAGGAAGCCGTATTTACCTCGGCACAGATTGAGGACATGTTCCAGAAGTTTGGCACCAAATGCTACAGCAATTTGAATTGTTATTAAGAAAAGTCCCAAGAGACAACAGATTTGTAAAAGCACACAATTTCTTCCCTGAAAATCTCACATTTCTCACATCAACATTAACAAAATCAACTCAGTTTCTCTAGATGTTCTCTAGAGAAAAGAACACGTACCTAATTATCAATGATTAATGTTCAATATATTTTAATTCATTTTTCAGAGTTAGCAGTGACTACAGCCTGCACAGTAAAATTAGGCTCTAGTTTTTGTTTTTTAAAAAAAGCAACCAAAAACCTGCACACAGAGCCAACTCATCTCAGCTGAGGAACATTAAAGCAGCAGCAATGCAGAACTGAAACTTGCCCAGATCCATTTTGTCCTCATACATATGTATGTATTTACATAAACTCCATGCTATTTATGGAGGAGGAGGTCAGTAAAACTTCAGCTGTATGCTTTGGGGAAAATAATGATGGCTCTGAAATTAAGAGTCCCTCCACTTCTGCTTCTTATCAGGGACTGTTAAACCAATAAAATTAAATTGAAGACCATTATCTTCCACAGTGACATGACATTTTTTGACTCATTCACATTGAGATTGAGTACAACACCAAACTTTTTTCTACCAAATTGCTACTTAATGTGCTATTCCCCGTGCTGTATGCAAACAGCGGATTACTTCTGCTTCAGTGTCCAGCTTGGAACTTGTCCTTATGAATTCAACAT